AGAGAGAGAGAGAGAGAGAGAGAGAGAGAGAGAGAGAGAGAGAGAGAGAGAGAGAGAGAGAGAGAGAGGTGGCTACTTGGCGCCATGGATTCTGTGTGTGCGAGCCTGCGAGACAGAGGCATGGCGGGAAAAACTTGCCGGGTTCGCTCGGCCGTTCTGCTTGCCACCTCGAACCCGGCGTCCACTGGATTGCAGTCCTGGCCCCTTCGGTAACCGTAACACACACAAAAAAAAAAGCACTCCACTTCCAAAAGTACCCGTTCCCACAGCACCCACGGCGGGACTGTACCAGCCTACGTGGCATGACTCAACTGGTAAAGAAAACTGGTTTTTGTGCCCTGTGCGGCAGCCCGAGTTTCAACTGAATGTTGAAGTCGGGCCGTGACTGAACTGCAAAATGGGTGTTTCGAATGCATTTTTTAACTATTATCGTGACAGCGCCCTAGTTACCCCTAAAAAAAAAAAAAGGCTATTTTTGTTGGGGGTCATTATTACTAATTTTTTGAATTATTTCCCCACCTGAAAACTATCGCCCCAAATTTACCTTCTTTTTTTTTTTTAGTTGATTATGGCGGGCGCAGGCGATGCACGTGCTCCGATTTCAGGCGCGTGGCTCCGCCTGCGTATGGCGTGGCCATGGAAATAATCGGCCACACGGCATCGACCACGGGGTCGAGTCTGGCCTCCTCGGCGGCGGCGGAGGCCGTGGGATCCGCAGCTATCGGGTCCAAGTAGGGGGTACTCCATTCAGGTGGCCAGATCGGTATCTCGGGTACACACGGCCTCGACCACGGGGTCGAGTCTGGCCTCCTCGGCGGCGGCGGAGGCCGTGGGATCCGCAGCTATCGGGGCCAAGTAGGGGGTACTTCATTCAGGTGGCCAGATCGGTATCTCGGGTACAAGGGCGCGAGGGCCATCGCTTCACGACTTGCGAGTCTCTACTTCGTTGAGGGCAAGGGGGTCAGCCGGCTCTCTTTCCTCAACTGCCTGCACTTCTTCCTCCTGCCCCTCCTCTTAACGTCCAAGCTATCCCACCTCCTGTCTAAATGCCTCCCTTTTTCTCCTATGCCTCTCTTCCCTATCAGCTGACAGTGAGCCCCCATCCTATGAGTGATTTCTCGGAGCACTTGGTGGATCTGTCTGACGTGGAGCCGCTGCCAATCGCAGGCGAAGACGCACGGGAGCTGCCAATCGCAGGCGATAGACAGTTATACTGCTATGATGTCTCCCTGGCCTCGCTTCAGCCGCAGATAGTCATCTCCGCCAGCAATCTTGACCACGATGAAGTCTACCTTCCGATAGACAGTTATACTGCTATGATATCTCGCTGCCCTCGCTTCAGCCGCAGATAGCCATCTCCGGGTCAGGCGATTTAGAGAATTTTAGACGACAATCCTGTGAATTGAAAGTGTGTGATATGAGCGTGATGATCGGGGACCGTGTCCCTCTACCATAGCAGGACCAATTAACCCATTTTTCAACCTGGCCAGGGGATGGGCGTGGGTTTTTCAGACCGAATGGCACGGACTCACGAGTGGTAAAAAAACAGTTACTCGTCTTTTCTTCTACCACAGTCATTCCCTGAGTACAACGCACCCTTTTTCCTTCTTTTTTTTTTTTTTTTTTCTCTGCACCCTCAGTTCTTACGTCCACCCGCTCATGAGGAGGGTGCGCTGTGTTTTGGGGGAAAATGGTGGTGGGGCACGCCCCGGCGACCATTGCCAGGGTTGGGAGGATCTCATGAGCAGAGGACTGAAACCAAGGAGTCGACGTGGGATCCCAACCAAGTCATGATCTCGAGATCCTTCATTCCTTTCTTTGTGGGGTGGGGCCGGCGCGGTGGGGTGGGGTGAGGTGGGAGGGGGGAGGACGTTTGAGGAAATTGAGGTTGGGGGGGGAAAGGGGGCTGGTGAGGTCGAGGGGGGGGGGACCCGGGGACAGGATCTCCACCGTTGATTACTACGCTTTGACTCGATGACGTTGCGAGGATACACCTCACGATGGCCAAGCTTCGTCAGTGGTGATCACTCACTCTGCAGCGATCATGGAATCAGTGGAGTAACCGTCCCGGTTAACAGTCGACTACTGCGTTGGTTGGGCTTAGACGAGCTACAGTCTTCCCGCGAATACAGCGTACGGTCATTATAGCTGAAGTTAGACTGAAAGATGCCCCAAAAAATTCAGCTATAATGACCATGCGTTGTATTCGGGGGGATTCTCTAGCCTTGAATTAAAACAGAAAAATAGCAGTTTGACCGTGAACTCTATCCGTAACGACGCTCTGAGGCAGCCCAGAAAATGATTGTTACTTTGATGATTTAATCAGAGAACGCACGTTGTCTGATGATTGTATCCGTATCCGTTGGCGTCTGCATGTGTCGCAAGGATTACAGGGTAGGGTTAGTATATTGGGGGAGCTCCCACTTGCGCGTTTTGTGTGTAGAGGGACAGCCCCGCCGTCGATCTTCGCTACCAAGTACGGACAGTGGCACAGTATAGTCCGTGGAAGCTCGACCCCCGCCCCTGGTGTTTGCTATCCAAGCCGGGACCGAGTCCCAATCGCGAAGAGAATTGGATGAAACGGCTGAATATGGAGCGTCACGTGTTTGTTCAGCGGTGCAGAAAGAGTCAAGAATGCTCTGCTATTCTGCATCGCACGCGAAAGGACGTCCACATTCGCAGATTCACGCACTTAATCCAATGGGAAAAGCTAAGAAACAAAAAGGCCCCGCGACAAAATCTTTGGGGTGAAATGAATACGAAGGGCTCGTCGTTGGCAGGCTTTGGACCATTTCGTTTTTTTTTTTTTTGGATTTTGGACCATTTCTCGGATTATGCGTGTCATCCTTGCCAATTAGAAAAGTAAAAAAATGTCTTTGTTAAACCCAAAGACTGCAACTTGCGTATCATTAGACCAGGGTACAGGCCCGTCGGGACTCGGTTGTATCCTGGACCTGGGTGCGTTTGTGTAGGACCTGTTGTCGGACCTTTGTTGGAATCTGCATGCAGGATGGGCTTTTGCCTGTAGCCTTTGCCGGGTCTGACTGCGTGATAGGAGTAGGCCTGGTTTCTTTACTTTTCGTTTCCTGCTTTGTTTGTTGCCCGTAGCTTTCCGCAGGATCTGACTTTGGTTTGGTTTCTTAGGGTTTGGTTTCTTAGGAATTGACCAGGACGGTTCGATAAAAAGACTGGCGCAAGTCGGTCAGACTCCTTTTGGTGCTTGCACCAAAAATGAGTCGGCGCTTTTGATGGCGGAGTGTTCGGGGGAGTTTTGGGTGATGTGGAATGAAGGTGGCGAGCATGTTTTTATCGCATTTCTTTGAAGCTCTTTTATGGCGGCCTCGTGCTGCAGCTTTGTGATTGCTTTGAGTACTCACTTGGTTCCTTTCTATTCACTCGTATCAATCGTCGTAACCTGCTAGGAGATTGCACCTGGAGGGGGTGGCGGCGCGCTACTAGTGTTACTGCTTTGTGACTATACAGTTTTGTGAACAGGCCGGTTGTGTGGCTGTTCGGTGTTTTCGGTGGTTTGTCTCGATGAGTCGGGAGAGTGGCACGAGCGGGAGTGGCGGACTTGCAGGATCCGCCGGGGGCAGTGGTGCCAGCGGGAGTGGGAATGAGGGCTTTAGGCAGAACTCGGAGAACTGGATGGCGGGTCGTACATGCGAGAAGAAACACCGCGATGAGTATCACGATGCGAAGAGAAGGGGTGTTCCTTTCATCCTTCCACCGCAAGTACAGGGAGGCCGAAATATGGCTACGGGGCATGAGAGAAGAAGCCTGTCCGCGGATACTAGCATGCGTAGAAGTGGCGGTGATACCGATGGGCTCATGCGTGAATACTTCTTACAAAAAGCGCAGGAGAGGCGCGAACGACTTGAAAGGGAAGTGAGGGAAGAGGCGGCTTGGAAGGATGAGGCTATGCGGAGGGAAGCGGAGACGAAGCGACTTGAGGAGCTGGCTGAGAAGCGGAAATACGAGGATGAACGAGACGCGCGATTGATGTGGATGGTGCGTGAGGAAGTACTGCGAGAAAAAGAGAAGGAAGATACCATGGAGTCTGCTAGAAAAATCGAGAAGATAGTGAAGGTGGTGAAGATCAACGAGCGGGGCGAGACTCTCGAAGAGGAGAAAGAAAGGCTGCGATGAATGATTGCAGCTGCTGAGGTTGAAGAGGAGGTTTTTGAAGACGACGAATTATTCAGGTTGCGCCGCAGGGCGGCAGGGCTCAGCCTGAATGAGAAGAGGAAGCGGGGTAAAGAAATGGCGGTTGGAAACAGCCCGCCTATGATCACGCCGACTAAAGGACGAAGAACGGGCTTATCCTACGGAGCAAAATCGCAGATCAATGAGATCCGAAGTGAAGGGGGTGCGGGAGCCGGTAGCTCCACGACTACCATGGAACCAGTCGGCAAGATCTCCCTATCATTGAAGCACGTGACGGCTGGTGCTGGACCTGGTGCACGCGAGAAGTATGAGGAAGAGTGCCGCGAGCTCTTTGAAGCGCTTACTATCGAGGAGTTGAAGGATGCGTGTAAGGCTGAACACGTGGTGTATGGGAAGCGGGAACTAGCGATCAATCGATTGGTTAAGAGGAGAGTGACCAAGGTATATGATCCGATTAATGTACCGCTGTCGAGACTCCTAGGGTGGTCAGACGCTCGGCACGTAACGCTCAGGCGAATCAGGTAGGGGCAGATGCTAGCAAGGATGATCTGGAGGCATCCGAGTGAGGATATCGACCTCAGGATCTATGGCGTAGGATCCGTTTGTTGGCCCAGAGGCGGCTGCAACGGTCTGGTCGTGATGCAGAGGACGAGCGTCTTATGCGGAGCCTTGGTGCTTGGTTTGGTTTTGCAAGGGGAGGTAAGGTGGTGTGTGAAGTTCGTCGAATATTGGAGGAGATCAGGAAGCTGGTAAGTTGGATTTGAGTGTTGCTAGTGGTTGTGTCTACGTGCTGGTCTCACCATGGCACAAGCAGAAGTATGTGGGTATGACAGAGAGGGAACTGGCTGTGCGGTGGTGTGAGCACGTGAATTGTGTAAAGAAGGGCGGGAAGAAACGAGGGAGAAACCTGTACAATTGGTTAGGGAAGGTGGGGTGTGAGAAATATGTAGCGATCCCAGTGTGCTATAGTAACGACAGGGCTGAGCTGCAGGCGGTGGAGAGGACCCTGATCAAGACGTGGTTATCATCGTTAAGTACGATTGGAATTAGGAAGAGGACTAGGAAGCGACGTAGAAAGGGTAGGAGGGAGAGAAGGAAGCGATGGGTGAAGAAGGAGGATGCGGTCGCAAGAGGAGATGGAGGGCAACTAGGGAGGATCCTGGAATTACGTACGCGCACCAACCAAGTTACTGTTCGGATTGTGGATTTCCTGCGTGGCCTAGTCAAGCCGTCACATGGTCATCAGGTTGAGGTGTGCAGTAATGGTGGATGTATCTGGTCTGACGGTTAGCGTGTTGTACGCAGATTGTTTGGTGAATCTCGTGTGGTGGTGGGTAAAAGGACGAGGCCATCAAGGCAATGTAAGAGGATGTTCGAAAAGGAAGGATGGCTGATCTTACGCGACATTATGGAAGCGTCACCGAGAACCTTGAGGATGAAGCAGGACTTGATCTGGATGTTTAAGAATTGGAGGAAGCAGAGGGAATTGATGGCGAAGTCTGTAGACGAACTGGTGGGCTACTACGGAGCTGCGAAACTGTTCTTAGAGAAGAGGAGTCGAACTAGGGCGCGGAGAATGCTGTCCGATGTATTCAAGAAGAGGTTTGGAATGAATGTCAGAAGGCGGATCATAGTGAAGGTCGAATTCGACGATAGAATACGGAAGGGTGAAGTCGTGCGGTTAGTAAGGAGTGGTGTTGGAAAGTTAAGGCTGACTAAGCCAGTGATGGAAATGGTGCGAAGACGCGCCCCCGTTGTTTGGACGAGGAAGCATAACGTGGGTGAGATACTCCATAATCACCGCCGGTATGCGGCGGATGGGGTCTTCGGGTGCATTTGCACCGATATGCCCTTCCTTCGGGTGGATGGGCACGTCCAGTTCCGCATTGGAGAGTTGACCGACTGTCCTAGCATCGTTCTTAATGCCAAGAATGTACCAAGGGACAGAAGCCACGGTGTGGTGTCTAGGTTGGCAGGTGAGTTGTCTAACGGTATGCAGGACCTCAGCTGGTTAGGGAACGGAATTGGGAAGGTTACTTTCTCATTGGTGGAAGTAGAGGGTTGCGTCGGAGGCGAGAATGGAGCCAATAGTGATGTATCGGAAGTTCGGCAGCTTGTCGACCGGCTGGATAGATTGGTGCGTGTCCCCCTGGACAAAAATCTAAGGGATACACTGGTAATGTGCCCATTTGTATATGGTGAGGGGATGAGGACAACCTTCCTGTAAGACGAGGGATATGAGGTTTGCGATAGTAAGGAGGATGAAATTTTGAGGGATTGTTTTGAGAAATTTCGGTTGCAGAACTTTGACCGGCTGGGAAAATGGGACGCGGAAGGGAGGCTTGGGAATGCGTACGCCTTGCCTAGACACAAGGACACGGGGAAGTACAGGCCGATCTGCCCTACGTACAGCGAGCCCAGTAACGGTGTTTGTAGGAAGATAGCTCGAGCTGTTAATAAGTTGCTCTTCTCGCTTCCGGAGAGTGGGCACTTCAACTTGAAATCGATTTGCGAATTGCGGCCTCGACTGACTGGGATTAATCAGAAGATGCGAAGGGTGGGGGAACACACGAACCTGCTCGTGGGTTTGTATGATATTAAGGATATGTTCAGTAAGCTACCGCATGATACGATTATGCACACGCTGGAGTGGTGTCTGTGGTGGCAGGAAAGGAGAGGGTTCCGGGGTGTGTGGGTGAAGCATCGTGGGAAGGGTGTTGTGTTGAGCCAGAAAGCGCTGGTTGAAGGCTTTCAATTCGTTGAGTTCGCGATGATTCATGATTTTGTGCAGTTTGAATTGAACGAGTGTTTTACGGTCGCTGGCGGCACGATCCTTCGACAGGTGATAGGAATACCGATGGGAAAGGCGACAAGTCCGCCACTTGCCTGCCTGATGTGTGTGAAGGCAGAATGGGATTTTTTGATCAGTTTGGGGAATGATCGGAGGCTGATCGTCGGGATTCGGTACGTTGACGATGCTTCCGCCTTTGTGGCCTACGATTCACGGAAACAGGAATCGAGACGCAAGGCGGAGAGGATCCTCGCGTCCTTCGAAGGTTGTTACGATAAGGCCTTGACCTTGAAGAGAACAGAAGTGAGTGAAAATGAATGGGAGTTTCTGGGCTGTAGGCTGACGGTGAAGGATGGGTTCCTGTATCTTGGATGCTGCCAGGCAATGAAGAATGAGAAGGACCTGTTAGCAGGATCTGAGTTGACCTTCCGGGGCTTTCAGGATTACCGATCATGGACATCGAAGAAGGCGAAGCTGGCAGTGGTGGTTAGTGCATTGCATAGAATTGAACGGAATTCCATGGCTAATATGCAGTTGGTCGAAGCTCTGTTGCTCCTGAGAATGGAGCTGCGGCGATGCAATTCTCCGGGGCACATCTTCGGCAAGGGATTACATAACTTTGCACGGGACAAAGGGATGGTGTGAAAATTGTTGGCCGAATTGTTGTCTGGATGATTTCGTTGGGTACTGTACTAGCATTCCGTTGTGAGGTGTCCGGTAGTTTGCCTGTAGTCGTGTGTCTGGTTTGTTGTCTTTGATTTGTTGTTCGAACGACCTTGCACGTAGATGACGCCGGTGAGTGATTTGATTAGATTTGCTTGGCAAACGGTTTATTGGCTGATGGGAGGCATGTAGTACGGGCCAGTGCCCGTGGCTGTGGTCTGAATGGACCAGGGCACTGGACCGATGGAGCTTGGCATATCATTAGACCAGGGTACAGGCCCGTTCGGGACTCGGTTGTATCCTGGACCTGGGTGCGGTTGTGTATGACCTGTTGTCGGGCCTATGTTGGAATCTGTGTGTAGGATGGGTTTTTGCCTGTAGCCTTTGCCAGGTCAGACTGCGTGATAGGAGTAGGCCTGGTTTCTTTACTTTTTGTTTCCTCCTTTGTTTGTTGCCCGTAGCTTTCGGCAGGATTTGACTTTGGTTTGGTTTTTTAGGAATTGACCAAGACGGATCGATAAAAAGATTGGCGCAAGTCGGTCTAACTCCTTTTGGTGCTTGCACCAAAAATGAGTCGGCGCTTTTGATGGCGGAGTGTTCGGGGGAATTTTGGGTGATGTGGAATGAAGGTGGCGCGCGATGTCGAGCATGTTTTTACTGCATTTCTTTGAAGCTCGTTTATGGCGGCCTTGTGCTGCAGCTTTGTGATTGCTTTGTGTGATCACTTGGTTCCTTTCTATTCACTCACATTCTATTCACTAAACCGGCCGGAGTACCCATATGCGGGATAAACCGTGTACAAAAACAAACAAAAAAAATACAAAACAAAAAAAAGTTAAAAAAAAAAACAACGCGACATTTGCTACTGGGACTTGGGCCCCTGTCGATCGGTTCTCATCGTTGTTGGACTCGGGGGCAAAGTCGCACTTGCCTTTATCCTTCATTTCTGACCCTAGATTGCAGAGAGAGACGGTCAAAAATAAAGAATTACGGGAATTTACAGCTACTATAGTGGGACTTGGCTCTCGGTGAGAGTCGTGGCAAGGTGCCATTTACTGTAGTTAGTCTCTTAATTTCTGAGCATCTTTCACGAAGATCGACGGCTACAAATTCCAAGAACGAGAGGATCCGAGCAAGTGGAACTTAACTTGCTCGCGTATTATGCTTGGTTAGAGCTTGTAGAGCGGCACGCTCCAGGTGGAGGGAAAACACGCATTGGTGAGACCTCGTAGACTTGCACCTCCGTTGTGGTAATGGCAGGACTGGATCTCGTTTTTTTTTTTTTTTTGACCATTTCTCGATTTATGCGTGTCCCGAAGGACTTGAGAGCTTTTCAGTGTCAGCCTCTCATGGCATCGGATTCTTCGTATCTCGCCATTCTTCCGAAATCTACGGCCCGATGCAAAGAATCCCCAGGAGCAGTGGCAGCTCAGGGAGGGGGGGGGGGGTTGGGTGGTTGATCTTCACTGAGGGATGTTTACAATCAGCGTTTGTGCAGTACTCGAGTACTTGATGGATAGTGTTTTTTTTTTTTTTTTTTTTAATGGTTAGCTGTAAAAAACATCGTTTTCATTAATTATGTTCCGCCGATTTCACCCTCCTTCTTATCGAGGAGATGTTACGGCGGCAGGGTTGAAAGCTCCAGGTAGAGGTCCCACAACAGCGTACGGTAATTATAGTTGTACGTAGGGTATCTTTCAATCTCAATACGGCTATAATGTAATGACCGTCCTTTGTATTCGGGGGAAGAAGCTGGAAAAGAGGACTGGTTTGAACACCTGAATCTGGACACGTTCGTGGAAAGGTACCAAATGTCGAGACTGAACTCCTTTTCTGTATCTCTACGTAAAACACGTATAGATTTAGGATGTTTAGCCAATCCTCTTTGCTTGTGGGACCTTGCCCCGGAGCACAGAGCCCAGACCGGACGAGGCAGGACACCTTGCATGTTCCATGCACGCGTGTTTGAATTTGGGGCGTCGCTGCGTTGCACTGGAATTTCGTTTGTCCCATACCTGAACTACACCTCCATGCATGATCGAACCCGGGGCCAAGTCCCATTTGACTGAATTCTTCATTTCTGGTCGTTGATCTTAAGAATCGACGGTCATAATTCAATCAAGAATTCGGGTAAGTGAGACTTGGCCCCCGTTGACGCTAGAAATCGATGTTCAGGAGCTGGCTCATTACATTCTTTTGTCAATATGCAATGGAACGGTATCGCAACTATCCTACTCCACCTTTTTTAGTTGGTACCTACTCGGTGGGCTCAGATCCAACAATTGTCACACGCACAGGGTCCTACCGGTCATTTCAGCTTCAACTACTTCAAGAGGTTCTAAGAGAACGGGCCTATTTTCCTAAAGATTCGATTGTCTATTTTCGGCAATCCACGGCTGGGAGTTTGCGGAACCAAGATCAGGAGAGGCAAATAGAGGAACTCACCCTGCAAGAAGGATTCCCTCAGAGGACGGACCGCCACTGGATACGGGCGCTGCGAGAGTATATGTAACCGGCATAGGACCAGTCGCAGCAGGCTGGTTTGTCTCGCGCGGAGCGACTTTGGGATTTCGTCTGCCGGTTGCCGCGCCCATCGCGTAGGCGAACCCGCAGGCACACCACAAGCACCAGATTTTGCTCAGAGGCCGAGTTGTTTTCCTCGCCAGTTACTAGTCGGGCTGTCCTGGAACCACTCCGCCACCCTCCCCCTACGCGCTGCCCCGCCTCCGCCTGCTTCCCTGTCTGCAGTCGCTGTCCTCCCCCTAGTCCAGTCTTGCCAGTTGGTTCATTCATCAGTCGGTCAGTCAAGTTTTTTGGTTTTACTCTGCTAATCCAGCACCCGGTAAGTCCTTCTACTTTTCCCCTCGCAGTCATGTACCCCGATTACCCCTCCCCATGGTTTTACTCTGCTCATCCAGCCACTTCTGCTGCCTCCAGTTCCCCACCAAACCGAAAGGAGCGTCCCAATTCAAACCCGCACAATTCGCCCCCCTCATCGCCCTGCCATTCCTCCCTCGCTTCATCCTACCATTCACCTCCTCGTGGCGAATCTCCCCTTTACGACCCTTTCTTGAGACATCACTATCCCGCACATCTTTTTCCTCATTCCCTCTCCACCACTTCCTCTGCATCCCTCCTCGAAAATTTCTCCTCGCTTATTGACTCCACGGTATCTTGCATTCCCTCTCCCCCCATCGCCACGGATCCTGCGCTAGAACGCATCTTCGTCATAGACCCACCTACGACATCCATCCTCCCTCTTCATCTCTTCCTCCTACCTCTGATTCTTTCCGCATCATTGAGAAGGAGTCAAAATCTTACCACTGTGAGGACGTACGGTAAACTCCTCAAAGTAGAAGACGTTGTCAAGTTCGTCTCCTCTGCAGCCACTTTTAGATTCCAGAATGATAAGAAGAACCTTTTCATAAATTAGACGAAGTGCGTCACTGAACTGCTCTCTCATTCACTTTTTTCCCCTACTATCTTCAATCATCTTGTTGTTGACTCGCGCCCTCTCTCTTCCCTATCTGCAAGGGAGCACTTACGAGCTCAACTGGACCTGGCCGATTTTCAAATCAAAAGCGCTCAAGACATCTCGATTTTTTTCTTCTGCTTCGGCATGTTCATCGCGAAAATCGGCTCATCATCGACTGAATCCTGGTTTGGAGAAGGACTTCTAACCCTGGTACAGAACCTTCCTAATCTGGCATCTTCACCATTCCTCGCATTCCCCATGTCAGCCTTCTTCAAGGACTTCCTCTGCTACTTGGGCGACGAGGCGATATCAGATCTCCATCTCCAAAACCTTGCAGATTGGGGACCAGGCCCCTGGTTCCGCTACCTGAGGAAGCAAGCGTGTGGCAAGCTCCCTAATTACGTTCTGCATCCGACTTTGCCGATTGAACCATCGCCGTCGTTTGTTCCCGATTATCCTAGGCTACTTGTCTCTTTCAGGAAGGGTTACAGAAAGTGCTTTCGCTCTAGGCACAGGATAGTTAGTAATGAAGAGGAAAGGGAAGCATGTCCCTCAGGCGCCTTCCAGGAAGAAGAAGTCTGGAAAATCGGAGATTGATGACGCATCCTCCTCTGATTTTCCATCACCATCTCACCTCCTGCTTCAACCCATCTTCCTCGTTACGAAACCCTCCTCTCAATCCCCTGTAAATCCCCAACCTCCCCCCACAGCCCCTCCAAAACCCCCAAGGTAACGGCGCAAGCCCAGAACTTGTAGAAATTTAGACTTCTTTATCTTCTTCTTCCTTTTTATCCTCTTCCTCCTCCATCTTTTCACCTTCTTTCTTCTTCTCCACAAACCTCCTCAATCTCTTTGTCTCCATCCCTGAATTTCCGTCTCATTTGCAAATAATGTAACCAGGACGATTTTTTTTTGCGACTCTTTTTCTGTTAACGGTTTGGTTTTTAATATTATTGTGTTTTTGTCTAAAAAAATTTAATTCTTAAGTAAGTAATTAATAATCCCTGAATAAAATTGCTGAAGCACCCTAGCAATTGAGGATTCTTTGTTAAATCGGCTTCTTGGTTATCATCATGTTCCTTGCTTATTTTCGTAATGATCGCTTGAGTAGGGATTTAATAATGCCTGAATAAATCTGTTGCAGCATCTTACCTTCCTTAATCTCAGTAGATGCTCCCGCATCATGTGAAATGGCATGCACTCTGCTCTTATCCAGTCGATGATCAACCGCCAAACTTCCTTGTCCGCGGTTATAACAACCGTACTCTCAAGGATGGTTGTATTCTTTGTTAAATCGGTTTTTTTTAATCATCACATTCTTTGCTTAATTTCATAATGATCGCTTGAGTAGGGTTTTAATAATGCCTGAATAAATCTTTTGCAGCATTTTACCTTCCTTTAAAAAAAAAAAAGAAAAAAAAAAGGGGGGGGAACTGAGAGTGTTCGTAAGTGATTGACCATCGTATCTCAGTAGACGCTCCTGCATCATGTGAAATGGCATGCACTTTGCTCTTATCCAGTCGATGATCGGTCGCCGAACTTCCTTGTCCGCGGTTAGAACAACCGTGCTGTCAAGGATGGTTGTTTGCGTAAGACTGCTGGGTGCACAACTGTATCGGCGGGAGATTACTCTGCATCATGCTGCAGCACATGCATTACAGCATCTCTTCCTTGCACCCTCCTCGACAAACTTTCGCGCTGATTATGGCACTCATTGCATGTGCTCCT